TTTTCAATAATATGTTTACGGAGATTAGAAACTATATCGATTTTACTTCTGTTTATAGGCAAATTTATGAATATGAAACCAGAAATATATTGTTAGGTAATAGCAAGGTAGTCTGAACCAGGTAGCCTCACTCTGTCTTGATGAAAATCCTAGTTGGCAACTTCCGAGCTAAGCCCCGCCCCTTTGGTTTTATTTATTGCAAATATTAAATATCCTTTTTATTTCTATTTATTTTTTCTTAGTTTCATTTTCGTTTATTTTTCTACATTTGTTATTACGTAATCATTTTAATTAAAAGAAAATGCACTAAAAAAAAACGTTTATTATAAAATATCGCACAGACTGACCAGGTTAACCCAATGGTGCCGGGGAAAATTAACAAAAAATGGGGAAAATTTTGTGCCCACTTTCTATGTTTTTCGTGAAATGTCTGCCGATAGATGGCTCCGCTAGCGCCTGATTTAAATGGCGGGAAAAACGTATTTTTCACTAGTGCTATGAAAATCGATGATGTTATTTTTATCATAAACATTATAATTTTTATAATTTTTTTTTAACATTAGTAACAGCAAAATAAGATTACGTAAAATATTTTGTAAATCAAAGAAACGGGTAAACGGGCGAGACAGGCGGTGCTCGTAACTGGCTCATTGGGGAGTTAGTACAAGTGTTGCCATCTATGCGGAAAAACAATCAAACAAGTACTCACTGTGGGCATAGCACGTACGTACACGTCATACCCGGCACCAAGGGGTTAAATAAAGGGGTGCAGCTAATGACGTCACCATATTTAGCCAATTAGAGTGCGCCGCTGAGGTATCAGATCTAACTAGAGCCCCAATTATTTGTATAATTTACTCAATATTGTTATATATATCAGAAATAAAACAAAAAAATCCCCTCTTTTATTTACGATAACAAAGAGTTCCTTAACATTAGCAGCCTCAGAACACTCTTGGGAAAAGGTAAATGTCATATTTAGGTTCAACAGGACAAATGGAAGTGGAGCTACCTGGTTATATGTTCCTTAGGTAAAAGAAAAGGATAGATGCGTATTCATATGGTAACCTATCAATTGATAGATAGATAGACAAAGAGATATATGTATATTGCATTACTGAGATAGAGAGGCGAGAGGCAGAAAGAGAAAGTAAGAGAGAGAAAAGGGAGGGAGAAACGAGAAAGTGAGAAAGAGAGAGAGAGAGACTGAGAATAAAAGAAAGGGAAGAAAAGTGAGAGAGAGAAAAAAAAAATCCCCACGAAACAGAAAGCAAACATAAAAAAAAATGAAAAATAAAAATAAACGAGAGAGAGATGGAATAAAGCATAAAACAGAAAGAAAAAGGGATCTCCCCCAAAAGATGCCATCTGACGGCGCGCGCTGCAACGACGGAAGCAAAAGAAAAATGGCGCTCTTACCGCATTGTCGACAGGCTTTGCGACAATTGACAGACATCCACGTGGGGTTCTTCTCACACTCGCCGAGGTCAGACCAGGTCGTGCAGTACTCACTCGTGTCTTCGCATTGGTCTAACAGATAAAGAGAAATAGGTAAATAAATAAATAGATAAATAAAGCGTTTGGATAAGTACCGTTAGTGATCATGAAGGGAATGATAATGAATGATGTGATGTTTATTATATTAATAATTCAAATCCTTTTCATATATCACAGACATTCAATCAAAACAAATAATAATAATCAAAATCATTTTCATATTTGATAGACAATTTAATCAATAAAATAAACTGGATAAAATATTCTACATATTTGTATTTTTTTTCCCTAATCCAATCCATTCCATTTCCGAACCTTTTGTGGAAAATAACGTTTTACAATAATTGTAGAGAATGAAATAAAAACGTTCATCTCCCTTGCGCTCCGTGTGACGCATTTGTTTTTTTGTTTTTTGTTTGTTAGTTTGTTTTAGTGGCTTATACTCATCATTAGTGAACGTTTCAGGAGTAAAAGCTATATGACTATATTACAAATCTTAATTGAATCATGTCAACACACACAAATACACACACACACACACATACACACACGCACACATACACGCACACATACACACACACACACACATACACACACACACACATACACACATACACACACACACACACACTTACACAAACACATACACACACAAACAAACACACACACACACACACGAACACACACACACACACATATACACACAAACACACACACACACAGATATATATATATGATCAATTCAATTTCATTACACCTCAAATAATATTCCATTGGAAGTTATTCCTTTTCACATCTTTCTTATCCACTTCTCACCCATACCTTTTCTACACGAATGAAAAAAAAAAAAAACATTTTCTACCTGGCGCTGGGGTTGTGATCGGTGCAGAGGTTGTGACGACCGTATCCGTGCTTCCGTTCACGCAGTTGTACATTTTTTGAAGTTTTAGAATATCTTTCTGTCGGAGAGAGAGAAAAAAAATAATAATAATATGGGGTGTTTTAATTTTTTTGTGTGTGGGAGAGAGGTGTTTTTTATGTGTTTCTAGTTTTTTGGTTGTTTTTGGTTGTTTATTTTGTTTTTGTTTTCGTCGTTTTATTCATTACTGTTTCTTTCTTTGATTTTTAAAAAATGTTTTGTTTTTTTTTCTTCTTTCAATGTGACTGTTAGATATATCGGTTCGTCTTAAAAAATAATTACCTATCCTCGTTTTCTATCGTATCTCTTACCCTCTACCCCCCCTACCCCCATCTCCATCCTCCCTTCCCCTTTTACCCTACCCTTCCCCCTCCCCCCTCTGCCCCTTCCCTCCCACACTGTTCTCTTCTGTTTCCTTGCAGTCTATTCTATCTATCGTGCCTCAACCCCCTCCCCTTCCACCCCCTCTATCCCCTCCCCCCTTCCACCTCCTCCCCTCCTCTATTCCTTCCAACCCCACCCCCGCCCCTTCCCTTTGCACCCCCTCCACCCCCTCCCCCTCCATCCCTTCCCCTTCCACTCCCTCCATACTCCCATCCCTTCTCCCCTCCCCCCCCCCTCTCCTTCACCCCTCCCCCCTCCACCCTCTTCCACCCCTTCCCCTTCCCACCCTCTCCTCCCACTCCCCCTCCCTCTCCCCCACCCCTCCTACACCCCCTCCACCCCCTCAACGCCCCCTCCCCTCCATCCACCCACCCACCCCTCCATCCACCCATCCCCCAACAACCCCCCCTCTCCCCTCTCCCCCCCTATCACTTACCGTCGAAAATCCTATCCTCTGCCCAATTTCGACGCCCGTCTGCCTCGGGATGATCGTCGGCAGAGACCTGTCCTTGGCGAAAGCATATGGGCCGTAGTGCATGATGGAGCCTGTGGGGGGGGAGGGGGATTAGAGGGGAGAGGGTGGAGGGAGGGAGGGAGAGGAGAGAGGGGGGTGGGGAGGGAGAGGGAGAGGAGGAGGATTATTGTCAGAGATTTGTTCAGATTGGTATTATCATTATCTGTTGTTATTGTTATTATTACTATTTTTTATTATCATTATCATTGTCATTATTATTATTATCATTAGTATTATCATCATCATTAGTATTATCATTGTACTCAATTATTATTATTATTATCATTATTATTATTATTATTATAAAGACTTTTATTATCATCATCATTATTTTTTTGTTGTTGTTGTTATTATTACTTTTATTATTATTATTATTATTATTATTATTATTATTATTATTATTATTATCATTACTATCATTACTATCATTAGCATTAGCATTAGCATTATCATAATTGTTAGCATTATTATTATCAATATCACTATCATTGTTATTGTTGTTGTTACTAGTTTTTATTCTTATCATCATTAATATTGTTATCATTGTTATTGTTATTAACATTGTTATTATCATTATCATTGTTATTGTTACATCAATTCATCACTAATGTCATTGTTATCATCCTCCTCAATTAATATTATTATTGTTATCATTGTTATTGTTGCATCAATTCATCACTAATATCATCGTTATCATCCTCCTCATCACATCATCTTTATCAATATATCACTGTTATTATCATCATCACAACTTAAAAAAAAAAAACTTACCTGTATCGTACCCAACGCCAAGGGTTTGTATTTTGTCCCAAGAATACTTCTCGAAATTGTACCACATCCCGTGTTGTACGTTCAGCTTATTAATGGTAATGAAGTTGTCCCGGTCTGCACGTGACTGCTCATGCCAGAAGCCTGCCACGTGCATGAGTTCGTGCATGACAATCCCCACGTAGAGACAGCCTGGACCGAGAGAGACTTTCTGGGCACCTCCCACTCGGCCCACTGAGCTGGAACACCTGTGGGGAGGAGAGGGAGGGGGGAGGGGTGAGAGAGAGAGAGAGAGAGAGAGGGTGGGGTGGGGTGAGGGGGGTTAAGGGGTGGGGGGTAGTTATTAGGTCTGTGGATTTTTTTTTTTTTGTGATAGATATGTGTGTTGGTTGTGTGTATGTTTGTGTTTGTGCGTGTGTGTGTGTGTGTGTGTGTGTGTGTGTGTGTGTGTGTGTGTGTGTGTGTGTGTGTGTGTGTGTGTGTGTGTGTGTGTATGTGTGTCTGTGTGTGTATGTGTGTGTGTGTCTTTGTGTGCGTATATGTGTTTTTTGTGTTTATATGTGTGTGTGATACTATATTTAATGGATGTGTATGTTCAACACTTCACAGCTAATTACTACATTAGTTCTACAAAATCACAGTCCGTTATGAGCAACATATATTTCTGCAAATGAACATTGCAATTCACACATAAACAAATATAAAAATAATGCATGAATAAACAAAAACGAATGGCCATTTGCACTATGCAACGCAGCCGCACATTTGCTTGTATATATGCGAGAGAGAGCCCTGTTTGCATGCATGTGCTTTCTCGTGCAAACTGGACGGCTTTTCTCGTGAAATCTCGCGAAATCTCGCTAAACACTTGGGATAAAAGCAAAGGTCATGCTATCTCCAGGTTTGTGTCTTCCATTTTTATCTTCTTCCTCTTTCGTTCCCGTACAGCTTTTCCTCTTCTTCCTTGTTTCTCTATCTCTCTCACACGCGCACTCACACACACACAAACTTATACTCATATGTGTGTGTTTGTGTGTGTGTCTGTATGTGTATTTGTGTTTGTGTGTTTGTTTTTGTGTTAGTGTGTGTATTTTTTGTTTTTGTTTTTTGTGTGTGTATGTGTTTGTGTTTGTGTCTGTATGTGTGTATGAGCAAAGTAAAGCCCCCTAAGTTTTTTTTTCTTTACTCGCAGTTCTATCTAACTAGGAATGCTGTCTCTGCCGTTTGTTCAGTATGTCTAGACTTCCGCCAGACATATTCTGCCGTACTCATATTCGTGACATCACCGATGTGGTGTTTGACGAACGACGAACTACTTGGCGCCATGTTGACATCATGTAGGTGACTGGATCTTTATACTGGGGTAGCTAACCAGTGATTTTTCCTAATGATTTTTCACCCGCTACCCTACACACACACACACACACACACACACACACACACACACACACACACACACACACACACACACTATATACTACACTATATATATATATATATATATACGAGTATATGTTTGTGTGTGTGTTTATATACATACACACACACACACACATACACACACCCACACACCCACACACACACACATATATATATATATATATATATATATATATATATATATATATATATATATATATATATATACGTACCTATATATGTTTTCTTTCCCTCTCTCTCAGTCTTTTAAATTCTGCTAAAGATATAAATATGAGAGACACGGTGGCAGGGTGGCAGGTAACCTGACTTATGTATGAAGATATACATGCAAAGGAGAGAACTAAGGCTGGGGGAGTTAACTTTGCCTTCATATTTCATGCGCTTTTCATTTTTTTCTTTTTTCTTATTTTCGTGTCTGTTTTGTTAGATACTTCACTTTCATATGCGAGTGTTTTTTTTTTCTTTTTTTTCTGAGATAGGTTATTGTTGTTGTTTTTTCAATGTAGTGTTTGGTTCTCTCTCTCTCTCTATCTATCTATCTATCTATCTATCTATCTATCTATCTATCTATCTATCTCTCTCACTCACTCTCTCTCTCTCTCTCTCTCTCTCTCTCTCTCTCTCTCTCACACACACACACACACACACACACACACACACACACACACACACACACACCTACACGCACACACACATGTACATCTCCCCTAACCTAAGAAAAAATAAATAAATAAATAAAAGACCAACGACCTAAACAGACACAACCACCTACCACATAATAACCACACGAAACCACACACCCCTTGCCTACTCACCCGTCGCCCTTAAGTATGTGTATGTAGTCTCTCTCGATAGTCCTCGGCACTAAACGTAGGCAGGTTTTCTCGTGGTATTGAGCGATGGCCATGGCGATGGTGGCTCGCTCATTTGTATCTGTTGGTGGGGGGGAGGAGGGGGGATTTGGTTGAGTTGGTGTAGGGGGGAGGGGGGAGGGGGGGGAGGGGGGAGTTGTAGGGTTGTGGGGGTGTGAGGGGAGGTGAGGGCTGTGTTTGTGTGGGGGTGTTTGGAGTTTGTTAGGGTGTGTGTTTTGTGTTTGTTAGGGTGTGTGTTTGTGTGTTTGTGTGTGTTTGAGTGCTTGTGAGTGTGTGTGTTTGTGAGGGTGTATGTGTGTTTGTGAGGGTGTGTTTTGTGTTTGTTACGGTGTGTGTGTGTGTGTGTGTGTGTTAGGGTGTGTGTTTGTGTGTGGGGAGGCTGTGTTGTGTTTATGAAGGTGTGTTTGTTTGCGTACGTGTGCGTGTACAAATAAATGTACGCACGATATATATATGTAAGAATACTTATCTAAATATATATACGTCGTTTCAAAAGTAAGATTCATGATAATGATAGTAGTCATGATAGTGTCCTAATGATAATGATAGTAGTCATGATAGTGTCCTAATGATAATGATAAAAATTAGAAGATAGATAATAATGATAACGATAATAATAATTGTAATATGTGTAAAATGCTAATTAAAAATTTAATACTGAGAATAATGATAATAAAGTAAGAAGATAATACTATTACTAATAATTATGAGAATAACAACAATAACAATATTAACCATAGCAATAATAACAATGAGAAACACAAATCACAAAAAAACGTATCCCAATCACCGAAAATCATTCTAAAAAAATAAATAGATAAATGAATGAATGAATAAACACACCTTCAAGAACAATGAATGGGGGGGGGGGGGGAAATCTACTTACTATACGAGGAGGAAATGACGTAAGGAATAACCCCATTGGGCCACCGTCGACTCATGTCCACCATGGCATTTCTCAGGAACACTGGTTTGGCATCGTTCTGCAATGACGGGACAAAAGTGGAGGAAAACAGTATGTGGGGAGGAAGGAGTAAGGAGGGATAAAAATGGAGGAGGAAGAGAGATGGAGGAATGGGCATGGAGGAACAAAATATGGAGATAAACTGTAGGTGAGCAGGAAGAGAGATGGAGGAAGGGGCATAGAAGGACATAAGTGGAGGTAAACAGTATGTAAGGAGGAAGAAAGATGGAGGAAGGAGCTAGTAGGAACAAAATATGGAGGAGAGCAGTATGTGAGGAGGACGAAAGATGGAGGAAGGGCAAGAAGGGACAAAATATGGAGGAAAATAGTATGTGAAGAGGAAGAAAGATGGAGGAAGGGGCAAGCAGGGACAGGAATGGAGGAAAACAGAATATGAGGAGAAAGGGAAATGGAGAAAAGACGTATGTGGAGCCGTTGCAAGGAGGAAGAAGAATGGAGGAAAGAGGTGCATGAATCGTTGGTATATAACCCCTTGGTGCCGGGTATGACGTGTACGTACGTGCTATGCCCACAGTGAGTACTTGTTTCACTGTTTTTACGTATAGATGGCAACACTTGTACTAACTCCCCAATGAGCCAGTTACGAGCACCGCCCGTCTCGCCCGTCTCTCCCATTTACCCGTTTCTTTGATTTACAAAATATTTTACGTAATCTTATTTTGCTGTTACTAATGTTAAAAAAGATTATAAAAATTATAATGTTTATGATAAAAATAACACCATCGATTTTCATAGCACTAGTGAAAAATACATTTTTCCCGCCATTTAAATCAGGCGCTAGCAGAGCCATCTATCGGCAGACATTTCACGAAAAACATAGAAAGTGGGCATAATATTTTCCCCATTTTTTGTTCATTTTCCCCGGCACCATTGGGATAATTGAATGGCGTGTATAAGCAGATATATAGAGAGTAGGAGAGAAAAAGAGGAAGGAAGAGGGAGAGAAAGAGAGGGAGTAAGAGGAAGGGATGGAGGAAGAGACAGAGAGAGAGAGAGAGAGAGAATATTACGTTTGCACATATGTGTTCGTGCGTATGTCTGTTCATGAGCTTGTGTACGTAAGTGTGTTTGTGAACGTTTTTACCTAATGAAAGGTATATGAATCACATACAAATCAAGAGAATTTATCAGCAATTAACAAGATTATCCTAGTGAACATATGGACTGATAATAACTATTGATTTGATAATTGATTTGACTTGATAATTATATGAATGTAATTGATGAATATTATAGAGACAGACCAATAATGAATTTTTTTTTCAATTTTACCTGAACTATTGCATCATTAGATAGCCGACCAAACGACTGAGCTTAAAAATAATGGTATAATGATGCTAATGATAGCGGTGAATAATTATAATTATATTAACAGTCGGTGATAAATGACAAGTGATAATGATAATGATGATAATTATAATGAATTAATGGTAATGATAATAAAGATAGCAGTAATGATAATGATAGTAGCTACAGGAGCAACAAAATAAAATTATAATAATAATGATAATAATATTAATAGTAAAAATAATGGCGTTAATACTAATAACCACAATATAAAAATTATAGTAATAATAATAACAGTAATAATGGTGAGAATAAGAATAATAATGAAAATAGTAATAATAACAATGACAATAATAATGATGATGATAATAATGAAAATAGTAATAATAATAAAAACAATAATAAAGTTGATAACAATAATGAAAATAGTAATAATAATGACAATAATAATGATGATAATAATAATGAAAATAGCAAAAATAATAATGACAATAATAATGATGATAATAATAATCGAAATAGTAATAATAACAATAATAATAATAATGAAAATAGCAACAATAATAATGACAATAATAATGAAAATAGCAACAATAATAATGACAATAATAATGAAAATAGCAATAATAATAATGACAATAATAATGATAATAATAATAATAATTAAAATAATAATAACAATAATAACAACGATAACAAGGATGCTGCTGCAGACTTACCATGGCAGGATAGCTAGGATCTCTCGGGCTGAGGATGATGTCCCCCTGATAGAGTCCGGCCAGTTCTATGGGGTCGGGCTGCTGGTGGGTGTCGATCGCTTCGTGGACTGACGAAGGGGGAGAAGGAGGAAGAACAAGGTGGTGATGAGAGAGGGTGGGGTAGGGGGCATGGAGTGGGAGGGGAGGGGCATAGGTCGTTTGTTTGTGTGTTGTTGTTGTTGTTTTTTTAGGTGTTTTTTTTTTTGTTTTTGTTTTTTTTTTAGTTATGTGTGTGTGTGTTACTGCTTATCTGATTGTCTATCATTATTTTTTTTTTTCTCTCTCTCTCTCTCTCTCCCTCTCTGTTTCTCTTTCTCTCTCTCTATCTATCTACCTATCTATCTATCTATCTATCTATCTATCTCTCTCTCTCTCTGTCTTTTCTATTATTTACTCAATTCACCAAACCTGTGTCTCTTTAACTAGCTCTCTCTCTCTCCCTCTATATATATATATATATATATATATATATATATATATATATATATATATATATATATGTGTGTGTGTGTGTGTGTGCGTGTGTGTGTGTGTGTGTGTGTGTGTGTGTGTGTGTGTGTGTGTGTGTGTGTGTGT